AATCTTCATTAATTTATTATAGTGAGTTGTGCTATCGTTGGTACAGTATTCCATCCAACTCACTCATAACATCCTTCTCTAACACCACATTTCAAAGCTATCGAGGATTATTTGTTCTACCTTATTAAGTATCTAGGTTTCTCAGTCGTATGAAGTGTGGCATATGTAGAATTGCATGAAGCGTTTCCTAGCCCTAAAACTCATACTATTGGAACATAAAATATTTTTCTTATTCATGAAAGCTGATTTTACATGTACGATTCTGATCTTATTTTCATGATACATCTTTCATCTTGATTAATTGAGCTGCCTAGGAATTTAAAATGTTCTACTTGTTCAAATAGCCGATTTCCTGTTAGGATATTAATTCTACGGATTCGGTCTAATTTTTGGTAAATCGTAACTTCAGTTTTTTGTCAGTTGATGCTCAAATGATATTTTTGGAAGCACCTCGCTTTCTCATCTAGTGTTCTTTCCAAATCGTGCTTATTATTGGCTAATTATGCAATATTATTACCGAATCTTATGATGGATATTATTTCTACACCACCTTTATGCTAATTTTATTTTTGAGAAATGTCTCTAATTTCTTTAATAGGATGTTCGACATAAATATTAAATAGGATTAGTAAGAGTGAATATCCTGGTTTTACTCCCTTCTTAATTATCGCTATCTGTTTTTTAAGTTACTTTTATTGTAGCTGATTAGTTTTTGTATTAATTATATATTATCTTTATATCTCTATAATCAGCTCTTTTACAAACAGGAAATATTATTTTAATTTTTAGTTTATAGAAATAAAGATAAAATATTACATTTGAATCAAAACGTTTTTATAAAAATTGAATTAAATTATTAAATAATTGTATAATATTATTATGTAAGGAAATGTCGATGTATAGTTGTGATTTTTTTAGGATAAGGTGGCAAATTTTATATATATACACAGTGGCGTACGCAGGGGGGGGCTAATGAGCTGAAACCCCCTCCCATTGACGGAATTATAATTTTTGTTTTTAAATCTACCAACGATTTAATATAATATCTCAAAGCGTGTATTTACCCATTTATTAGAACCACGAATGAAGATATTAATAAATATTTTATATATCTTAGTCTGTGATTACGACCACAGTCCATAGATGGGTATTTATAATCTATGATTACAACTGAACTGATGTTAGCAACAATCCAATCTTTGTTAATCTAGCCAACATTCCAAAGATCAACCATGACGGAGGACCGTCTTAATGGATTAGCTTTAGCAAATATCAATTAAAAAAGAAAATTTGACCGAATTGGAAGTTCTACAAAAATTTCAAAAATATCACCTAAGCAACTACAATTATTAGACTGAACTAAATAAAAATGTAATTTATTGCCCATTATTTTTATTATTTTTTTTTCATATATTTTTTGTTTATTTAATGCTTGGTTTAAATAAGAAATCTTGCTGTAACGTGCGAACAAAGATAAAAAAAAAAAAGAAATAAAAAAGCAACTATTTTATTTTTTAAGCCAATGCGTCTGTTACAACTGAGTAATTATTTATTTTCAAGCCCCCTCCCCTCCCATTGTAAAATTCTGCGTACGCCACTGTATTACATATATATCAGAATTCAGTTTTGCAATTTTGTGTTAAAATTAATAAATCTGTTATCTTTTAAATATCTTCATTCTTATTCCTATGAATATGCTGTATAATTCAAGCTATTTTGGGACATTGTTGACCTCAAAACTACATTAAACGCACAGGCTTGAAAATTATCTTTCGGTAATACAAAAAGAAACTGGGATAGTGAATTTAATTTTGACAAGTTTATTCATTTCTGAAAGCATATTACAAGGTGATCGCCCGATTTTTTAAAAATCTATAGCATTTTGAATGTCACTAATTTCAATTTGTTTTGACTTAGCAATATCAGTAAACAGGGCCGACATAAGGCTAAATGACGCTTCAGGCCAAAATGCCAACTGACCATTTTTCTTACAATATTCCGTAATATCATAATACTAAGAAAAAAATGTTGTTCGAGGACAAAAATACAGAAAAATTATATAATATACTCAACTTGTACATATCTTGTTATCGTCTAATTTTTTCATCACGAGTCATAATGGCTTGACGCGATCTCGATTAAACGATAGCAAATATTCGAGAATTTCTATATTTATAGAGTAACATATGAAAACATTCTTTGTTAAACCATAGTAAATATACTTATATTATTTTAATACATGGCTAAACGAAATTACTATTATAATTATCAATATTTTAATACAAAGTTAAGGTCCGCTCAAACCGAAGCGGTAGCGGCAACGAAATTTAATGTCCATACGTTTTAATACGAGCGCACTATCGCGAAATTAATACCGCGACGAAAATGTTACCGTAAGATTGAACGCTATATTTTTATTTTTCGCTTACCGCTGCGATAATCAGTTGTAAATTCCCAACTATGAGTTATCTACATTTTATTATTAATATATTAATATCTATAGAAAGTTTATCATTACATTCAGTGGCATAACTGGGAAAAAATCTAGGGGGGCAATATAATATATTTATTATTACCAAAACCCTGACACCTCTCCCCCTCACCATTTAAAACATATTTTTACTGTATGTATTTTATACAGTATATTTAATTGTCTGATTTTACATAAGTCTTTTAACTCATTTTGTGGTTTAGATTAACACAAATTGTAGGTAGCAGGTATTAGGTACCAATATTGTTAAATAATACCCATAAGAGTTCATTAATAAAAGGTGCTGTTTGTACTGTTGGATTATCTGGGGGGACAAAATTATACCTTTATCTCTCAAAAAATTGTCAGGGGAGCACTTACCCCGGCAACAATAACGCCACTGATTACATTGTATGATATATTTTGACTTTATATTCAAACACATATCTATTCACCGTAATCGTACACCTTGCAGTTGAATCTAACGTCGTGGTCTTTGAATGTATGATTCTCTTGTTTAAAATTTATTGTTTATAATAAAAATAACCAATGAAGTTGAACAGTTAATAGCTATTGTTAAAGAATATCCCATCATATATAATATGACACTTCCAGAATTCAAGGATACGAGAAAAAAAGATTATATTTTTCATTTTTTGTTTTGTATTTTAAAATATTAATATTAATAAATAAAAATATAATAACAACTAAAGTACATGTACACGCATGGTTGTCACCATGTCGACTAGTAATTTTCGGCGAAATATTTCGCTCTCCGGTTAGGTTAGATCAGCGGTATTTAAAAAGCGATAAATACAGCTGCCGTTAACGCTGCCGCTACCTCTTCGGTTTGAGCGGACCTTTATAGGTATTTTATATTAAAAAAAAAATAAAAATATTACCCACACATATGCAAAATTGTAAAAATAAATTTCGGTGCCCCTCTGAAAATGGCGCTCTAGGCGACCGCCTTAGTCACCTTACCCTCACGCCGGCGGTCAGTTAACATATTTCTATGCAGTATTCATTTTTCATAGTTAAAATATTTTCCATAAATTGTAATTTGAAATTTTTTTATCTTCGACAATTATTCATTTTTCAAAGGAACATAAATGATTAATTACAATTATTCTATGATTTTATTGTTATGCCCAACAACTTAAAAAAATAAACTTTAAATTTTTTTAAGTTTGATGGAAATAAATAGATATGACTACTTTGAAAATATTTCTTTGGAATTTTTTTTATTCTCTAATGTGGTAGGTACTTTAATGATTAGCTTATTAGATTTATCGAACGTGTCTTCTCGTATTATATAAGTTTTTATCTCTGTTGCTGCATCGACTCAATTACATTTTTATTTTAAGATTTGCTTCTTGGATATCCATAAATACTTTTTGAATTAATAATTTTAATTTTTTCTAAAATAATGATCATTGTTCTTGTTACAAGAATCTTTTATAGAATAAAAAAATAACTTTAGTATTTGTTTAAGAAAATCACTTGCCTTGACTCCATTTTCTAATTTTTCTTTAGAATAATTTTGCATTAACTATTAAAACTGCATAATTAATGTTTTACAATAAGTTTATTATATTATAAAAAGGAAAAGAAAAAATATATTAATTATCAACAACATTTGATTAAATTTTAAGGGGTGCTTCAAGAACTAAAAAGAAAAAGTTAATTCAATGGCCCGAGAACCCAGATAGCGGTCTACACAGACCCTTGAGGTTTCACCAATTAATTGGTATTGAACGTAATGTAGGTAAACAAGTGACGACTGTATATCGCAATCCGGCACTCCTGTGATGGGTGGGTGGGGTTATCCCGTGAACTAGCGGTTCGGCGGTGTGTAGCCACGGAAAATAATAACAATAATAGCTGTAATATTGGAGATGCGTGACGTTGGCACCACTGCGTTCGCGTAGCTCAATCGATCCGCGCCCCTTCCCTATACAACCGACCGGTCGTTTACGAAATCGCACACTCCCCACCATCCGGTTCCGTGCAACCAAGCTCGCTCTGTCGTACTTTTAAGTAGTTTATCTACCCGTTGTTTTTTTTGGTGCGCCTTACGTTTTTTTCTTTTTTTATTTCAGCGCGTGACACCCCCTCATGTATTACTTATTATCCTTTTCCGTATCTCCTGGCCCTGCTGTTGTCGCATAAATCCTCAACGATTCCCCTAAGAAAACGATTCCGCGTCGTCGCGCGTACGACATCCAACGCCGTCACCCTCATCATCCCCGATAAAGGTCCGTCGTCGTCGTCGTCGTTGCCGCCGCCGCCGCCGACGCTGGTGAAACAAAACCACTGTAATTGTAGTAGTAGTAGTAGCAACAGTAATAGCAGTAGCCACCGTCACTGTCGCCGCCGCCGCCGCCGCCTTCGTACGCCGTACACGACTTCCTCCGCCGACTCGAATTCAACAGCGGTAGTAGTAGTAGCAGCAGCAGCAGCAGCAGTAACAACAGCAGAAACAACAACAACAACAACAATCACAACTGTACCATCAACAGCCGCCGGAATGGAGACGCAAGATACGAGTATGACTAACTTGATCATCAATTATTTACCGCAGTCGATGACCGACAAAAAATTACACCAAATGTTCACACAGATTGGACAGATCGAAGCTTGTCGCGTGATGAAAGACGTCAAAGTGAGTTACAAGCCTGGCAACGTTGTCGTTTGGTTTATTTGCGTGCGCGCCTGTCTTCGCATGTGATGAGTTGGTGCAAGTGGTGGAGGAGGAGGTGGTAGTGTAGGGAGAGGACTTAAATAGAACGTCATGGCTGGGGCCCTTTAATTTTGAGACTACCTGTATTACTATTGTGTTAAGTTTGCGTTTTTTCGCCTGGCACAAATTTTTAAAATTATTTGAGGAACACAGCATGTGCCTTCAAAAAAAAAAGTTAAGCACTTGATTAACCATTATAAATATTACAATATAAAATATGTTAGTTGAACTTTTGTAAATTTTTTGCTACGTACTGTTATTCATTTATTAGAAGGCGAGTAATTGTTTAATCTTTTAATTTCAATACATTTGTCAGATACTTTCTTCTCTCCTTAGATTTCTTTCTTACATATTTAATTAATCTAGTATACTTTTTTGAGATATTGTTAACAGTATATATCAGTGGTCGGCAACCAGCAGCCCACATTAAATTCGAAAACTAGAATATGTCATTAAATATCATATCAATGTTATGTATTGTCTAGCTCATGAATCCTTTTTAGTTAGTGAATGTGGCTCAAGGGTCCAAAAAGGTTGCCGACCACTGGTATATATTATTGAATTATTAGCAATAAATCATAACTGATAAACTAATGTATCTTAAAAGAGTTAAATTTTTATTTTATTATCTAATTGTTATGTCTAGGTATTAACTTTCAAATCATTTGATCATAAATTTCTAAATTTAAATTAATATTATGGAATTATTTTATAAAACTGTATATAAAATATCAGTTAATATATATAGGCGTATACTTAATAAATTAAAATATAATATTATTCTGTGTTAAAATTATCATTTTATCATCATTCGCTGATAAATATTTATTTATATCAAAAACTTGTTTATTATTATTACCAATATTGTGTAGAGGTTTATTACATTTAAGCATTTATTTGGGTAATTTTTTAAAATTAAATGTAAATTAATAAATGTTTTTACGAACAAACATTTTATTTTTTAGACTGGCTATAGTTTTGGTTTTGGTTTTGTCAACTTTGTTCGGCCAGAAGATGCTTCCAGAGCTATTGAGGTTATGAATGGTCTCCAAGTTGAAAATAAACGTTTAAAAGTATCATATGCTCGCCCTGCTGGGGAAGATATTAAAGATACAAACCTTTATGTTCAAAATTTACCTAGGTATAAATAATATTTAATATTATTTTTAAATAATTTTACTTATAAATATAATAAATTATTTTAGATCAATAACAGAAAGAGAACTTGAAGATCTGTTTGCTCCTTATGGCCAAATTGTTCAAAAAAATATACTTAAGGACAAATATAGTGGACTTCCTAGAGGAGTAGCTTTTGTACGGTAAGTTATTTATTTAGTATATAAGTAGGAAGTTTTTGATATAATTTAATGAATGTAAATAATTAAAGTATAACTAATCTATGGTTATAATTGTTATTGCTGTACATAATATAATGTGTATTTTATAACGTTTTTAACTAAGTTGTTTTTGTTATAGTTACAACAAAAAAGAAGATGCACAAAAAGCAATCAATCAGTTGAATGGTGTTTTGTTGGAAGGATGCACAGAGCATTTATCTGTGAAAATAGCTGAGGAACACGGCAAACAAAAAGCAGCTTATTTGGCTGGTCTACAAACCGGTTTAGCGCACAGAGGTACAAACGACACCCTCACATACTTAAGCTACTAGATAACAAAAGAAAAAAGAAAAAAACCTAAAAATTTCCCCCCCATTCAATAATCTATTTCAATGTCTTCGAGGTTACATGTCATAGATCAGAAACAAAATTTAATACCTTGCATTCTGGCGCTACGGTTTTCTGTAAGTATCATCAATTGTATCTAAAACTAGGCCTATTTATGATACATAAAAATGTTATAGTTAATATTTTCATTGAGGCTAAGTTTATCAATTATTTAGTTTATTCAGAGGAAAGCATAATTTTGCTTATAATTAATTTAATTAAATACAAATAATAGTTGCCTAGTATTTATTGCATGTAAATGATACAATAATTTTTACAAATAAATTAAAATTTAATTCATTGATATATATTTATATATGCATATACAATAAGAAAACTATATTGAATATTAGTATGTATAATCTAAATTATTTTTTATGAATCACAGTTGAGTCATGATAATTCAAACCAAATTTACCTTCTCAAAATCTTAAATTTAGTGGTTTTATAACTAGGTGCCACAATCTTATAAAAATTTAAATAATAACAATAAATAAAAACTGATATTGTCTTGTGTTAATCTTATGAAGAGCAAAGTGTGTTATGTTTACAAAAAATTGGAAACCACTATTTTATTAGTTTGAATTCCTTCTTTTTTGTTCTTCAAATTAATTTTAATAATTATTAATTAAATTAATTTGTTGTCTGGCTGAAATTAAATAATTGCAACTTTTTTTTCCTTGAGATTTGAGTTATTGCAATAGCTGTATTTTATAAATTGGTATTGTTCAAGAAAAATATATTTTTAATTCTCTACATTTATTGCATTTTTATTTCATCATATTATAATAAATGATAATAAATGTTATTTGGCTTGTAAATATTCAGTATTTTTGATATTCAATTTAATGATTTAGATTAACTATGATATTGTTAATTTTATTTAATGATCATCTTTATATATTAATAATTATTTTATGCACTGTAAAGTATTAGAGTAACTATTATTAAATTTTTGAATTTATTTTGAAAAGCATTGATTATATAAAGCTCTCCTAATATTTGTATTAACATTTACATTTAGCCTTTAGATATTTTTGCATTTCAGTAAATTTTTATTTATAAGTTAATATTTCAAAATTATTTATATTTTATGTCTTAATTTTAAAATAATTTATTGATTAATAAGTAAATAGATTCAATTGAATTTTATAACTAAAATTACTATACAAAAATAACATAAGTTTTTTAATATATTGTCTAAAATATTTTATTTCATTAATTTTTTACTTTGCAAATTAAAAAATTAAAAATTCTAAAATTACATTTTTATAAATTTAAGTATTAAACTATTACATTAAATTGATTTTATAAAAATAACTTTTCTTAAAATTATTTAGTTAGTATTAGTTCTAGTACAGTTAATTTAAAATATAATAGTTAGGTTGTTAAAATGTGATTTTTAGTTAAGATAAGATACTAATCAATAAAATTTTGTTTAAATTTAATGTAAAATGTACATATAATATTATGTACAAGGTTTGTTTATGAACAAAGTTAAACTTGAAAAAATTATTTGTTTGTTTAAAATAAAGTTAGTTTTCTATATGCAAAAGTATTATTTTTGAAAACAATTTTCAAAGTAATACTACTGCTTATATATTATAGAAATAGAATTTATCAACATAAATTAATTTAATGAAAAATTATTTTTAGTTATATTATTTTTTATTTACTAAAAAGTAAGAATATAAATGGTAATTTTTAAATTACTTCTAATCTAATTCTCAAAGAATCTAAAACGTTGGATTAATGTCACATACATATTGAATGTATTTGAATGTTAAGGTTATTTATAATAAATATATCTTTAACAGATGTTTTGTTTACTTATGTTTTATTTTATTTGAAACAACTTTACTTCTAAATTACAGTACATAATTTGTATGTTAATATTTTATAATTTAAATAATTACTATAGAAATATATTTATGAATTATTGTGTGCTAAGGCTAATATTACCTAAATTTATTGTTATAAATTTATTTCAACATTTGAAAAATATAATTTTATCTTTGCTTTAATTTTTTTCCAATTTAGATAAAGCTAATTTAAAAAAATGTAGAAACAATATGTACCTTTCAGAAAATAAAATGCATAGAGTTAAACTGTTATGAATCATGATACAATTTATGTTTCTTGTCTCCATGATATATCAACCCGACACATTTATCGTATTCCCATTTGGATAGCTTATTTCTTTTTGCTTTCTTTTTTTGCATTTTGGTCTAAAGGTTTTTTTTTTTTTTTTTGGACCAATTGATCAATATTTTTTGTATTTGATTGTTCTTTTTTTAACTCATAATTTTTTTAACTATTATTTTATATCTTTAGGGCCTAAAAATCCTCAAAACATGCATCAGTTAATCAGAACTAATCATGCAATTGACAAGTATCCAAATCCATTGTTGCAGCATGTGGATAGACACAATATTGGTGCTGTGCGCCAAGATAGAGCTAGTTACCGTTATACACCAGTTGGTATGTTTCCCCCACCACCACTGGCACATGGGTATAATATTGGCATTGGTAATGGCAATATGTATTAAAAAATGCACCAATGTGCATCAAAGATTACATCTTTGTACAAATTTTGAGGTTTTTTTCTTTTTAATGTAAATTAAATTAATATTATATTATATATATATATAACCTTCTACATAATTTGAAATTGCTCGATACATTATAAAAAAAATATGTTGTAGATTTCATTTATTATTATTATTTAGTATAGAAATTGTATTGTAAATAATTTCAAGTAACAAATAAAATTTTCATTTATTTCTATGGAATATTGAAATTACTCATAATTTTAATTTTGATATTATTATTATCCTTTTATATAATAATTATCTTAATTAGTCTAAAATATAAACCAATGCGTGTGTGCCTATATTTTAGTGTTTTCTACCTTATTGTTTTTTTAAGAATAATTTGTGTGTATGAACAATACTGAAATCATTAAAATTATCTGCCACACATTTTATAAAACTTTGGATTAATTTCTTTTTTAATGTTTTTAATATACGTGTTAAACTTTTTCGTTCATGATAAATAATATAAATTAATTTATATATAATTAAAATTAAAATTGTTTTTTTTTATATATGTGAAAAGTCGAGTTGCAGCTGTTGGATTTAATTTTTTTGGTGCTCAGTTATCGAGTAAAATAAATCAAATTATAATTATAGATATAAGTTATATTTAAACGTCTAATCGTCTACAGGAGACATATCTATAGATTATAAATAATATGGAAATAATTTTTAAAATGATTAAGTGACGTTTATATCATATAAATGACTTGTCTGCGCAATGTGTTTATAATTTGTATGTTATTTTTTCATATGTTGCTGTTTTTAAGTATTTTTTTTTAAATAATGGTTTTATGCTATTAAAATTTTTGATACAAAATATATTGATGTTGAAAGTATGTATACATATACATATATATATTAAATTTTATATGTGGTTATCACATTTATTTTGAAAATATTACAAATTGTTGTATAGATATAACAACATTTTTTAAAGAAATGGATAAACGTGAACTATTTTTTTTGTCAAATTATGTAATTTATGATGTCCCTTGATTTTTTCTATAGTTTTCAGGTTAACATTTTGAAGTAATTATTTTGTCACTGTCTTATTTATTTTAATAACATAAATTTAGTTATTTATAACATTTTAAGCTTATTCTGGCATTAAATTATCATTATTTATCACAAGGAGTAGAAATGGTGACTTATTGTCTAATATTAGACACAACATCCAATGCACAGTAATTTAGACCTGTATCAAATTTTGAGTACAAAATTAAGAAAATAAATTTTCAATTAAAATATTAAAATATAAGTCTAAACATATTTTCATATATTTTAATAGGATTTAGAGCAAAAATAAGTATCAAAGTTACTTAAAAGGTAATTTTGAAGTGGGTAATATAATTCTCAATTTTTATTTTTTTTTTGACCTAAAAATAATATAATATAAGTCATAATATAAAACAGTGGTGGCCAAACTCTACCTCGGGTCATTACCGTAGTTTGGCCACCACTTATATAAAGCATCAATTAGTCCATACAGACAATTGAGTTAATTCACATGTAAGGTGTCATTAAGTAGTAATCATTATATACACCACAGGTTCCCAAAGAGGTCTATATCGACCCCTTGGGGTCGATTCGGACCTGTAAGGAGTCTATGTCAATGAAAAAAAAATAGGGGGCGCATCATGTGTGTAAATAGGAGTTCACGAGAGTTATAAGTCAAAAATGTGTGTCGTCATTTTTACGAAAAATGTTTACTAGAAGAACTTCCAAGGAAAACTGGAATAAGTAGTAACAATAAACTTAAGGTACAATTTAGAAATCGGTATCAGCAGTTCTGGCATCAGAGAGACATACCTGTAACTTTTTTTGCTTTATGGAGAATCGCAAGAAAGTTCTTGATTTATTTTTTGTCATCGTGGAAAAAGGTTTCAGCACAGTTGTCAATCTTCTTACAAAAAAAAATAAATATATTGGAAATTACTGATAGAAGAGATTTGAGGTTAAACCTGACTATTTTGAAGCCAAATATTGAAAATTTACTATCAAAACATCAGGCTTATCCTTCCCATTAAAGATAATTTTTTTTTTCAACGACCTTGATTCTTTTTCTATGGTATTATATTTAATTTGCATTTTTTATTGTTTTAATTATTAAAAAATTAATTTTAATAGTTTCCTTATAAAAGAAATAAAATTATTAAAAATAACACGTTTTTTATTTGAAAAAAAATGCATTCCACAATAAAGCCTATTCAGGTGAGCAGATCCGTGTAAGTTATGAAAAACACTTAGATGAGTTAGTAAGCATTTAATTTTAGAGGTCTACGAAAATAGAAAAAATGGGCACGTGGTCAACGGAGAAAAAAGTTTGGGAACCTCTGATATACACCATAAAATATACTGTACTAATAATTTTAGCAAGATATTTCCATTCATACATTACATTTTTTATTTTTCTATTTTCTATTTTGTAATAATTAGCATTTCCTTGTTGCGTGCCGCCATCCAATCATAAAGATGTTGAAGATTTAGGAAAATATTCCAAATAAAAATACTCAATATAGTTAAATTGTCTATTTAAAATTTTTCTAAGAACAATTAATTAATTAAAAAGATGATATTGAGTGGAGGTGCTCGTTACTACTCGTATAAACCACATCTAAATATTGGTCTATTCTAAACCCCCATATAAACTTAGGTCTCGTGGGAATCAATCGTGCCGCACTGTGCGAAAGTCGTTTTCGATTATTATAAATATAAGATTTATCACTTTAGTGACCTCGTTAATATTGTTATTCGCACATCTTTCATATTTATCATTTTGAAATGTAACCATACAATTCACATATAATATGTATTTGTTTTACCTTCTGATTTTAATTAAAATTCTTTTCTATTCATACGAATGCGAATATTATATTAATAATAATCATTTCCCGATTTCTATTATTTATGATTTACGTGGTCCCGCCCATGTTGTAAGAGTCGTAAGGACCCACATTTATGCATTTCCGTAACATCCTTTACTGTTTATTTTTTTACTAAACGTCAGTGGCGCACTCAGGGGGG